ATATTAAGAAAAATTATTTAAAAAAGCGTAACCACATTGTGCTATAAAACACGAAGCAAACCCCACCCCACCCCACGCCCCCAGCAAGACAGGAACTCGGCCCAAGGCCGCAGGATGAACGGGCGCGGGCGAGCCCGGCTCCTGTGCCCTCACCTGCAGGTCCACCTGGTAGAGGGGGTCCTTCAAGGCGTCGGGGTCGTCCTCCTCGTCGTCCTCGTAGTAGTCCTCCTCTGTCAGACACACGAGGGGGGGGGGGGGTTCAGGCAGGCGCCCAGCCCTTGAGCACCGCCGGGGTGGGGGGTGGGGCAGGGCGCTCACCGTATTTACTTGTGGCGAGGATGTCAGACAGGAGCTGGCCCGCTAAGCCCCCGCCCTCCTCCTCGTCCTCCTGGTCCTCCTCCTCGTCCTCCCACATGTCGTTGGAGTCGTCTGCTTGGGGAGGAAAAGCAGCTGCAGCCACACACACGTCCCACCCCAACGTGAGCAGGTGCAATGGGTCCGTCTGTGACTGCGGCCTGCACCCCCCACGGGCAAACCGGGCGGCAAACCCCCAGGAAGCTTGAGGAAGGGCGGGTGTGTGTGTGTGTGTGTGTGTGGGGGGGGGGTACGACGATGACTGAGGCTGGGACGCTCTGGGAGAGCCACCACAGGCGGGCGGGTGCAGGGTCCCTGGGAGGCGGGCAGAGCACCTTGGCCCCACTCCGCGGGGGCGGCCTGGCGGGCAGCGTTGGCCTCCATGACGCTGGACAGCTCGTTGATGATCAGCTTCAGGATCTTGACCAGCAAAGGAATGTTTGTCCAGCGCTCGGGGTCTGGGGGAAAGAAGAGGCTTCGATCCAGACTCGGCTCCCGGCCACGCCGTCCTGCAGGGATGCCCAGCAGTCCACCCGCCGGCTCCGCCTCCAGACCGCACCCAGGCGCTCCATCAGCAGCCACCGCTGACACCCCCTCCTCTGCCCGGTGCCGCCACAGGTCAGAGTTCAGGAATGAAAGGAGGCAGGTTTCGCCAATAGAGCTGGGGCACCAGGGAGGGGCCTGGAGCCGAGCACCCTGCAGGTCAGGCACACTCACTGCCTACAAGGCACGGGGGTCAGAGGCCGAAGCTGGCCGATAACCAAGACTGGACTTGGCCCCGAAGCCCAGGAGCTGGAAGCAGGGCCCCTGGTGCCGAGATGGCGCCTGCCATCTCAGCGGAGGGAGGGAGGCCACTGTGGGACCCCCTGCTCCTCACCAGGCCACCACCCACAGCGCCCGCCTCCCGTGTCCCCGCGTCACCCACTCTTGGCGGCCTTGGCGCGGGTGCGGACGCCCTCGTCCACGCTGTAGATCTCCTCGCCCTTCACGCGGATGTCCTGCAGCCGCTTGTCGTCCGTGTTGATGCCGTGCTGGAGCAGCTTGCACAGGGCCACGGAGCTGCAGGGCACGGGGACGCCTCAGCCACCGCCCGGGGCCACCCACGGAGACCAGCTCCACGTGCGAGACTCTGACGTGAAAGCAGAGCTCGGGTGGGCGAGCCCCCAGGGCCGCTGGGAGGTGCGCTGGGCACAGAGCCGGGCACAGAGCCGGGCGGGGGCAGGCTGGCCACGGAGGAAGCCCCGCCCACTGTGGCCAACGTGACGCCGGCATTGGGAACGTCAGGGACAGGCGGGGCGGAGCAGCCGCGGAGACCAGGGGCAGCGCCAGGAGGCCCACCTGACTTTGCCCTCGTACTGGCCGTAGAACAGGTGCTGCCGGCTCGTCCACTCGGCCATCACGAACTCCAGGGCGGGCTTGCCGGTGGGCCCGGGCAGGCTGCACAGGAACTCTAGGAGGGGCTCCAGCTGGGTGTGCACCAGGTGGGCGAACACCATGATCAGGGACTGGGAGCGAGAGGGAGGCCGCGTCAGGACACACGGACACGGAGCCTCCTGCCAGCGTCTCAGGCCCACACGACCGACCAGGAACCGCGTGTCCTCAGGGCGGGCGGAGCGCAGTCACCGGGAGCAGTGTGTGGACGGCCCCCGACCCCGGGCGGCCCGCCCTCACCTGCATGACGCTCAGCGTCTCCGCCTGCTGCATCTTGCTGAGGATGGCACGCAGGATCTGGTCCAGGTTCTCGCCCAGCTCCCGCCCGGCCTTGTTGATGAGGGTGGAGACCAGGCGGCCCACGAAGGCGGCGGTGAACTCGGAGGTGCGGGGGTCCAGCAGCTGGCTCACCACCTGCATCACGTACCACAGCCCGCTGTGGCCCTGCTCGTCGTGCCACTGCGCCACCTGCTCCAGCGCCACCGACACGTAGGCCCGCAGGCACTCTCCGCCGTTCTGGGGACACAGGGGCGGGGCCGCGAGGTCAGCGGCGGGGGACAGACGCCCGGGTCTGCACAGACGGGGCTGGCGCTCCGGGCTCACGCCTCCTCCGAGCAGGACCTCGTCTCCCGGGGGCTCCCCTCAGACACAGACACAGACACCACGGTCCCCGCCCCGGCTGCTCAGCCCTCCAAGACGCGCACGCTGGCCTCCAGGGAAGCGGCCCAGCAGACGGAGTTTTAAGCGTAAGGCCCACGGGGCGCGGGAACACACCTGCCTCAGGCACAGCGTCAGGGGCGGCAGGCAGCTCAGGTCCCCAAGCCCATCTCCTGGACTTTACTCAGAGAACCATCCAGAAAGACTCCCTCCCGGCCCAGGTCTGTGTCTGTGACGCCTCCACAGCGGTGACCCCAGATACAGGGCGCCCACATCTCTACGACGGGAATCCCCAGACCACAGGCCGCAGGCGTTGGCAGCTGACTGTCCCCGGCCTCCGGGTAAATACAGACGTGAGACACACAGGCCAGAGCGTGGGCCTGTCAGCACGCGGTACCTGCATGGTGGCGTTGTCGTCCGTGTGCAGGGTGCACTGCGCCACCGCGGGGAACGCCTGGCAGACGAGCAGCTGGGAGAGCGGCGGCTTCGTGCTGCGCACCACGGTGGTCAGGATGTCGATGGCTGTCTGAAGGAGGAGGGAGGTCAGAGCCTCGGGCGGGAAGGGCAGCAGCCCAGAGAGAGCTCGCTAAGAAGGAAGGGACCACGAGACGGCAGTGTGTGCTCCCAGCCTCCTCACGGGGCTCCCTTGACGGCCGCGGGGCTGTGCGGCATCCGGCCGTGCGGGGCAGCAGGTAGCGCGCGCAGTGTGTCAACAGATAAGGCGCCTCTGGAACAGCCATTTTCCCGGACCCTCAAGAACCACCCCTTCTTGAGGGCAGAGCAGCTGGTGAGCTCACACCTGCTCATTCACACCCACCCACACCCACCTGCTCACACACACACCCACCTGCTCACACACACACACACCTGCTCACACACACCCACCTGCTCACACCACCCACCCACTCCTGCACCGCGTGGCTTTGCTCCCACTCACCGCGCACAGCCCTGCGGGGAGTTTGTCTGCTGGCGCCTGCATGATGCTGACCAGCGTGGGGATCAGCCGCATCTGCATGGGGCCCTGGCAGGCTTCGATCTGGGACAGCTCCTTGAAGATGTCCTGAGCCAGCAAGGCGACGACGGGATCTGAGGCGACAAGGCAACAGGACCCGCCCGCCGGTCTGCACACGCCGCTGGCTAGCGACGCCTGGTGTGCGGCCCTAACCTAGCGAGCAGCGTCTGCGTGGAGGACACGCCACACAGCCGGGACCTAGCGGGACCACGTGAGCCACCTGGAAGAACAGGAGAGATGCCACCTCCAGAGGCACACGGTCTCCCGGCCGCGGGCTCACCCTACAACCACTCGGCTCTTCCTGAGCCAGTCCTGACGCCTTGATTCTCGGGGAGCCCGACTGGACTGAGGAGCAGGTGCGGCTGTGCTGGGCGGGAGCCGTGCGGCGAGGGCCACCCGAGGGTGCAGTGTGGATGCCTCCCAGGCCACGCTCCCACGTGAAAAGCCATCACCCCGAAGTGCAGTGATCCCCGAGCACCCCGAGCCCCAACACCGGAGCCCCCTCTTCATAATCAATCACCCTCGGCCTTTTCTCTGGTGATAAAGTACAGACGAAACGCACGACAGGAGTCACACAGAACGTGCTACAAAGCGTTAAAGGAAAGAACCCCCGTCACCCACCGCCTGGCAGCCACCGCCCCAACACTGACGTCTACGTACGGACGTTACACACACCCTTTCCGAACACAAAACCAAACCGGGCATCAGTCTGTGCGTCTGGAAAAGCTGTCTATTACTTATTATCACGTAAACACTGCCTCAGTGCTTTAAGTGTTCCCCTGACCTTTAATATTTACGGCATAAACGAGTCCTTTCTACGTCCACATTTTTGCTGCTATAAAGGCGAGAGGAACCCCCTGTTCATCTGTCCTCAGATCTCCTTCCTAAGGCAGTGCAGGCCTCTTCCCACCCCACCCCACCCCGGTTCTACGAGGGGGTGAGACCCCCGAGAGCAGGAGCCCTCCTTTCCAGCTCTGCTAACCGACAGCCCACGCTTGCCTAGGATGCGGAAGAGCATCTCCCCAGGGACAGGTCTGCTCCAGGCCCGGCTGGCAGGCCTGCGGCGCCCTCCCTGGTGGCATACCGTTGCTGTACTTGAGGAAGATGGCGATGGTGAAGGGGCAGATCTTGCTCTCCACGCTGGCTGTGAACTCGGGGTCCACTGTGCACACGATGCACAGCGTCTCCATCACCAGGTTGAGGACCTCGGAGCTGAACTGCGCGGCCAGGTGAATGAGGCCGTCCAGCACGCTGGGCAGGAAGGGCTGGAGGACATGCGTGCTCTCCGAGGCTTTCAGTTGGTCACAGTAACTGGGGAGACACAGAAGCAGGAGTTACTTCCTCCCAGGGACGGGTCCCCGGTGGCGTTCCCACGGTGCCTCGTGCTCAAGAACCTGCGTCAGAGACAGGGCCGCCGCGGGTGTCGCTCAGTGCTCTTGCCCAGGCTGCGGTGGCTCAGCTGGTCCAAGCGCCATCCCGTACACCAAAGGGGCAGGTTCAACCCCCGGTTGAGGCACATGCGGGAGGCAACTGATGGATGTTTCTCTCTCAAATCAATTTAAAAAGTTGCGGTACTAAGGTAAAAAAAAGTTTAAAAAATTGTGTCTTGCCCTGGCTGGGTTGGCTCAGTGGATAGTGTGGGCCTGCAGACTGAAGGATCCCAGGTTCGATTCTGGTCAAGGACACAAGCCCAGGTTGCAGGCTTGATCCCCAGTGAGAGGTATGAGGAGGCAGCCGATCAGTGATTCGCTCTCATCTTTCTCTCTCTCTCTCTCTCTCTCTCTTTCTCTCTCTCTCCCTCTCCCTCCCTCCCTCCCTTCTTCTCTGAAATCATTTAAAAAATATATTTAAAAAAAAGAGAAAGGAATGAACTACAGTGCATGTTAATCCATCATGGATTAACATCAAAATCACTGTGTTGGGCAAGAATTCAGACCCTCACACACACACACACACACACACACACACACACACACACACCCCGTGTCTTATGACCATGCTCCGCGCCAGCTGCTGTGTTCCCAGGTCCACCACGACCAGCGAAGCCGTGGTTTGCCCCCCAATCGCCCAGAGCCTCGCCTTCGGTCAGACCCCGATGCTCACGGCCGGCCTGCTCTGACCGCCTTCTTTAGAGCTGATCTGCCACATGGCCTGGGGGTCACCGTGTTCTCCGGGGTCTCCCAGCGCCACGGGCACTTCTGTCCGCGATGGAGGCCCGAGCGAGACTTCGGAGGAGCCCCCTTGCTGACACGTGTCCCAGTGCACAGCCGCCCTCTCAAGAGGCAGGACGCAGGCAGGGGCAAGACAAACTGGCTTTCGGACTCCAGGGAGATTTCAGGGTTCAAGTTGGACTTTAAAAGACTCCTCAAACCACAAGGGTCCCTCTGGGCCGGGCAGGGGTGTCCGTGAACGACCAGGGGGTCCTGGTCGACAGCTGCTGCTAGGCCACACCGCCCGCATGTGGAGGCAGCGACCCCCAGGACGGCCCACTCTCCTCTTGTCGTTCACATGCTGCCCTCGGGCCATTTCTCTCAGAGCCTCGGGGCGTGGTCTCTGCAGAGAAGGGCCCAGCGGGCAGGTCCCGGCCGGGGTGGTTCACAGGGAGCCAGGAGCGAGGGAGCGGGACACGCTCCTGGGACGCTTCCTCCATCCAGTCCACAGAACAGCTTCACGAAGAACCTCCAGCAGCAAAATCCACTGGCAACTGCGGTTCGGGGCTCAGCTCTGAGTGACTTTCTCTTAAAGAGCTGGTGTCACCTCAGGCGGCGTACTCACCCCCAGATGGCTCTCACGGCCGAGATCCGCACGGACGGGGGCTGCGTCTCATGAAGGCCACTAACTGTTGCCTGCAGGAACTGCTGGATCAATTCAGGGGACATAGCGACAGTGAACCGACTGGCAGCCCAGAGTGCCCGACCCAGGAGGAAGGGAGACACTGGGAGGGAGAGAGAGCAATTAGGGGCTGGACACCACCGTCTGCGACCCCTGCCCTCCCTCCGCGCTCGCCACTCACGGGAACCATGTACCAGAGGCAACTCGGGAGAGAGACAACACCGCCTCCCACCGTTGGCAAAGCAGACCGGAGCGCTTCAGACTGAAGCCCCCCGACTCCCCCGCTCTCCCCACCCCCACCCCGCACGGCCAGGCAGCCCTCCGCACGCCTCCTCACTGCCAGGCTGTCCTGTCCTTGGGCCACTGCTGGACACCACACCCCACAGCTCTCCTCCTTGTGCTTAAAACATGCCCACAGACGCCAGTCTACCGAGTCACGGGCACCTTGGTTAGCACAGAGCTCAAGGCCTCGAGGCCAGTGCCTCAGCATGACCTGCCTCCCCAGGCATCCAGCTCAGCTCCCGTCTGCTCACTCCCTCTCCGAGCGCACAGGCCAGTTCCCCAAAGGCTACGCGATGTGCGAACCACGGCTCGGACAGCTAATGGGACGGGTGCGTACACTTCTTACATTTTAATCTCTCTGTTTTCACTGCCAATATGTTAAAATTGACACAAAAATTCAAAGAAAAATCTCTTTGGGGTTGTTGATAATTAAAAATGGCTGGTATAGAAACGCTTTTAGCCATAGACAGGCTAATCAACGTTACATATTAAACCTTCCCGTCGGAACACTGAATACTCTCCAATCTCCATGAATTTTTAAAGACTGTTTGCCAGGGCAAATGCTACAAAAATGTGCTTAAGGGTCTGAGCAGTCCCACCGCTTTCCCTGGACGCGTATCACATGCCTCGCCAGGAGGCACCACGGGTAGAAGCTGCAAGGACGCGCCTGCTACTCAGACCTCACGTCAGGGCGAGGAAGCAGCATTCACCAGCCTGGGCAGCGCAGTTGGAGGGAAAGGGACCTCCCTACAGGCCGGCCCAGAGGCTCAGCCGCCTCAGCTCTGACTCAGAGCCCGGGGTGAGGGCGAGGCCGACGCTGCCCCTCAGCCAGAGCACTGGCCTCGGGGGTGCTCCCCAGGGAGTCCATGGAGGGGAGGGGAGTGAGGGACCGGGCTGCAGCCGCACGCCCAGTGTCCCTGATGTCCACCCAGGAGGAGAAGGTGGGCAGTGTGTGCGGGTCTGGGGGGCGAAGGGGAGTCGACACGTGGGCAGAGGCCAAGGAGCCAGAGACACGCGAGGGCGTCCCGGCCGCTCCGCAGGGCTGGGAATGCGGGAAAGCGGCCGCGTTTCTCCAAGGCAAGTGCCAACGTGGTCGGAGGGCAGGACACGGGATGAGGAGGATATTGGCCAAGAATAACAGGAAACAAACAGGAAGACTGGGCCTGACTCAGACGGCCGAGGGGCGACAGGACAACAGCGGAGCCCAGGCCAGCCCTCGAGGCGCAGCCAGCCTCGTCCTGCTCGAGCGCCAGAGCAGCGCTGGTCTGAGAGTCGTGCCAAGGCAGCGGGCCTCCGGCTGCTGAGGTGAGCCCGGGCCGGGGCTGTCTGAGGGCTCCGGGAGCTCAAGCTCCAGGTGGGGAGAACGGGCCCCAGAGGACGCGTGATCCTGGCTCACCCACCTCCAGGAACGAGGCACGGAGGCAGGTCTCAGGCCGCCGGCGCCTGCGGAGCCATACCTGCCAGGTTGAGGTCGGCCAGGACCACGCTGGTCAGGAACCCGTGCATGTCGAAGTGGACCCGGCCGCTCTTGACGCTGTCGGTGAGGATGGACTTCACCGAGCCCAGCGCCAGCATGCAGGCCTCGTGGATCTTCCACCTGCGGGGACAGCACTGCTGGTGACCAGGCCGCGCCGGACGATCCAGCAGGAAAGGGCGCTCCAGCCCGACCCTCCCTCCCAACCTGGAGCGGACAGACACTCAGCCAGTTTCCTAGTTAAACGAAGCCGCGTTCTCCTCTCTCGGCTTTTAGAATAACAGCGTCTGAGCAGACTGCCGGGCGGGGGGGGGGGGGGGGGAAAAACCGGGGAGGGACCTGTTCTAAAAAAAAAGGCCAAGGTGTCATAGGCCCGGTGTTATTTGGGGATCCCCCAGGGGGA